TATTTTGCTAACACAGGCTAAGCATGCATTTGGCATTATGTTTCAGGCACAGTAGCCATGTGGCAGGCATTTATGAAGCTAACGCTAAAAATATTAAATAACTTCCTAAGGATAAGATAGTAGGTAAGAGGATAGATAGGAATAAATGTGCTTCTGGTTGCAAAGCCCATGCTTTTTACACTTTACCAGACCACTTCAGTGTTATCAGGCTAAACTGCAAAGAATCATTATTATGACGCATATATAACCTTCCTATGTGTCGAGCACTGTTCTAATTACTTTATATTGACTGAATCATTTAATCTTCAAAAGAACCCTGTAAAGTTGGTTTTATTATCTTCCACTTTTTCAGATTAAAAAAACTACAACATAGATGGGTTAAGGAACTTGCCCAAGATCACCCAGATAATGTCTCTTCTCTAATGGCTTTCCATGCCCACAGCATAAAATAAGATCTAAACTCCTTAGCAAGACCTTCCATGATCTGAACCTCCTCTCCTCATGTCCTTAATGCATGATGCCTCCCCTCTAAAACTTATGATTCTGCCACAGGGACCTCCTCCCTAAGCTCTGAACACATTGTCCCTGTTTTCCCCCATATCTCCTTATCTTTAACCAGTTCCTTGGCCCTTCCCTCCTAGTCTTCTGGTCTAACTCCTACCCATCCATTCTCGGAGATTCAATTCAAATGTCACTTTCTCAGCAAAGCGTTTCCTGGAGTCTTCCCTGCTTTCTGATGTTCCTGGCGTTATTCTGCGCGTTCCACAGCGGTCAATGGACTTGTGTCTACTCTAACACTTCTCACCATACTGTAACCATTACTTTCCATTTCTGCCTTCACACCCTGTCTCCAGGGCTGGACCAGCGAAACTGTGTCTATTTCCCGTAGGGCCCGTCATATTCATTCAAAGGTGGTTATGGAGCACCTGGTACTGTTTGAGATATCTGGGATACTCCGTGAACCAAACATAATGAATCTTGCCCTCGTGGAGGCTACATCACCGAGCCTATTGATGAAAGAACAAACAGAAAAAGATGGAGACTCAAAATAGCATGGGTGGAATTCACCTAGAAAGATGCCACCCTAGAGGGAAACTGTCGACAGGTAAGAAAAGCAGGGCGCCGCCATGGAGAAAGTGTTAATTTCGTCCTTATGATTGGCCAACTCAGCGGGTGCCCATGACCCGTGGCTCCAATTCAAAGGGTCACCGTCTATGATCCCCACCCCAGTGGGTTCCCTTGTGGTCCAACGTCTCCCTATGTCTTCATACCTAAACTCGGGGCAGGGTGCCAGGTAAGGGTGAGTATGACAATCCGAGATGCAAACTTCCAAGTCACCTCGTCGGGGTGGCACCCAAGGCATGCCCCTCCGCCCTCTGCGGGAATCAAGATGGCACCCAGGGAGCCATGGGCGAGGTCCCCAGAACTCACCTACTTTGAGGCCCCGCGCGCGCCACCCGTAACGGCCGCGACTCGGGTGGCGCGAGTGCGCGAGCAGGAAGGAAGCCGATCCGCTGACTGGCTCCTGCCGGTGTCTTTCACAGCCCTGCTGCACGCTGATTGATGAAACCCCCCAGCACGAGGCTTACCGAAGCCCCGCCCCTTGCAGACCAAATTGGGAGGCTTTCCTGGGGAGACAAAGATCAGTGAAGTGAGACTAATCGCAGGCCTCTGTGCGCCCACAGAATAGCGCACCTCGATTGGGCAGCTCCAAGGGACAACCCCCCCACCACCGCTTCACCGCCCACCATCCGCTTCCCGCGCAGATTTCCAAACCACGACCAGAGAGTCTGGCGCCAGCTGCCCGCAGCGGATAGAGGGGCTGTACCATAGATGTCGTCCGATGCGTCTGGTGCGGCCAGAGCGCCTTTCCTCAGTCCTCCCAGGCATGGTGTCCGCTGACTCATGAGAAATGAAGATGGGTTGCGCGTTGCAGTCGTGGCTGTAGGCTGCAGTTTGGAAAACAGCCCGTAGGCGTGGCGCTTGAGGACTCCTCACTGCAATGGAATTTCATTTCCTTTTGATTTGGCTTGTATAATAGAAGTCATGTCATTTCTTTCTGGGAATGTCCCCGACGGACATTTTGAGGTCATTTTCCTAAATGCAAGATCCTAAAGCAAAGATCCTTAGGCGAACAGAGAAAAACTGTTTTGCTAACCATACTAAAGGCTGTTTTCAACTTTCAAGGGGCGAGGGAAGGATGATAAAATGATTTATTTCATTATATCATAAGAAGTCATGAAGAGAATAGTAACAGTTTGACATGTATACTCGTATAATTAAGGAAGTTCTTCCCCCCCCCCCCCATATAAAGATGACCGGTAAGGGGATCTTCACCCTTGACTTGGTGTTGTCAGCACCACGCTCACCCAGTGAGCTAACCGGCCATCCTTACATGGGATCCGAACCCTTGGCCTTGGTGTTATCAGCACCACACTCTCCCAAGTGAGCCACAGGCCAGCCCAATTAAGGAAGTTCTTTTGCGTTCATTATCTCAATTCTGTCCGCAATAATTAAATAGGCAGAAGTAGACTTTACAAACGAGGAATTTGAAACTCTGCAAAGTTAAATGACTTGCCTAGATTCCTACAGTTAATGTAACGTAGAGACAAATTGAAACAAGTCCTCTAATTTTAAATTCTGAGCTCTTTCCACTACCACAAAACAACTGCTTTCACTGTGCACTCCCAGCGCCGCACTCTCCCAAACTGCTTTCATTGTGATTGTGCCCTAAAACATATAACATATTTTAAGTGGATAGAGGGGTCTTGCACAACGATGTCCCTAGAAGGTAACTTAGCAATAAATGTGTTGATCAAATGTGAATTGACAACGACCTTCATATCACATCTCCTCTCTTACAGTGTTTACCATACTCGTGGTATACACTTCTTGCCAAAATGCAAGATCCTGGAGGCCAGGGAGTTAGTTCTTAATCATTTTTGTATCCCTAGTCCCGATTTGGTGGACACTTAGTAACTATCAAATGAGTGAATCTCTGGGACAAAGCAGATGGGCTGTAACTTGAGTCCATAAAATTTTCCCCCATGAATTACCCCTTTCACCCCCTTTTCAATCCTGGGGCTCGTGGAGTGTTGCAATGGCCGCCACTTGGTCAGTGAAATCAGTAAATTGAAAAACCACTGACTTCATCAAGGTGTCTAGAGAGGCACGCTGGAAAGACAATGAAATTCTATCAGCATCTCACCCCATAGTTCCCTGTTCGACAAGAAGGCCAAGATGTCTTCAAACTCTGCCCCAAAGCCCAAATCCCCTACATGGACCAAGACTTCTGGTTTCACAAATCCCAGATCCCAGTTTCTCTAAACTATTCAATTTATTCTTTGAACATACCCTCCAGACAACATCTCTATCCTAAAAATCCATTGCTGCAATTTTGTTACTCTTTCGAAACATTATTACTGGAACATAGCAGGACAATCCCCTCCTGAGGTATCTGGGGGAGCAGCAGCTTACTGAAGTTCAGGCCTTGTATCACCAAAGAACCAGATGTTAGGTAGCCTAGCGGGATGCAGCACATCTCCCCAGTTTTCGCTGAGCTAATCAATCCTGTCTGCCCGACAACTATCGCAGCGGGGAGTTTTCAGGGCGTGCCTACCCCATCTTCCAACTTCTGGCACCCCAGACTTCGCAATTCCTGTATCCCGAAAACTCCCTTTTTTTACCAAAAAAACCTCAGGCATAGAGGAAAGGAATATTGTGCAGGTTCATTTTTCATTTAAAAAAGAAAAG